ATATAGGGACGCATGGTCAGACCAAGTTATGGGTCCGTAACCACCAGATTGGATGAGGTGCAGGAATCTGTGGGAGAAACATGTCCAGTCGGGAATATGTGTGATAGATGGCAGAGTAGTAGGAGTAGTCGCGAGTGTGTGGGTGTGTAATCTGCCAATCGTCAAAGAGTTGAGATTTGCCCAGTAGCTGTGTCATTCTATGTCTTGTTGATGATTGATATGTGGTGGAATGGGACATCGTATCCAAATCAGAATCTAGGGAAATGTTAAAGTCTCCCCCCCATTATGAGAATTACCTTTGTGAACCGCTCAATACGGCTGAGATATCTCCTGAGCAAAAAGCATTGTTTTTTATTAAGGAGATAAAGGTTCGCAAAGGTGATTGCTGTGTTTCCTACCGTGTCTTTTACCAGAAGGAGCCTGCTGTTAAGATCTGTGTGATGGGCTTAATAAGTAAAGGATGTGTGTTCCAATAAGGATGGCCCCCTCCCTTACTTTGGCCCTATCATAATTGCTAAAGCATCCCAGTGGGTAATGTCTGTTGTGCAGAGTTGGGGCTGTGACAAAATCCCTATTTTGCTTTCCCCAGAATCATTCTTATACTCCGTTCGTGCATTTTGATAATATTTTGTTACCCATTCATCCGAAGAGACTAAGTACCGAACACCAACCACCCCCCCCGGCTCATTAAGTTCAAACAGACCACAGGAATTCAGTGCTTTCAGTGTGGCCGCCGTTCGTATAACCGAACGCCATGTGGTGGAGAAAATGGCGTCCATCTTGTCGCACGAAAGCAGGCAGCAGGACTTAGTCATCGAGTGCCTGAAACTCTAAAGCGGCCATTCGACAGCCCAAATACCGGTGAAAACATACGAACGCCTGCTTCTGTTCGTGGCAAGCCAGGAGAGCGCTGTTCGACAGATTGTTCAACGGGATCTCTCGAACAAACACCACACTATGAGCCAGGGGACCCGTTCCCCTTTTTGATTTGTTCACCTTTTATTTTGTATAAAAACTCTTGAACTAGAACTAGACTCTTGCTACCCCTGAAACTATCGAACTATTTCTGGACAGACATCTCCAGAGCGGTCGGTCGATTCTTCACCCCAGTGGCGATTCGACTATGTTCGTGGGATCTGAGCGCTTTTCGGGTATGTTGTGTGCTCAGATCCAAGCTATCTGGGGATGTGTAGACTATGGGGGTTTGGTTGTACAAAATATGACTTTATGTATTTTAAAGTGTTTTTGTGAGTTATAAAAAAGTGAATATTTTCTGTACCTGGATATAATTGAACTTAATACAGCTATCTTCCAGGTACAGAGGAGGGATTACACTGTTTATGTGGGAGTGTCCTGGACCTGGGTGTCAATGTCATTGGGTGATTTTGTGTTACTGTCCCCACTCAGGACCAGGGGGTAGTGCCCCTTACATGGGGACCTGCATAAACGACCAACTGTGGCTTCCATTAAACATAATGCTTTACCTCTTCATGAAGTCTTGGCTCATGTTTGGGGGATTGGGAGTTATAATCACTACAACTCAGCCGGAGTATATGCCAGCATATTTATATCTGCAGACATTTTGTGTGAAGACAGAAATTAAAAGTGTATACCGCCAGTTACCCTCAGAACAGAGGTGACACCATTTTGTATTGCAAGGCTAAGACAGACACAAGATTTCATTAAAGATAAAACTTGAGATATACATACATACACACACACACACACACACTATCCACTTATAACTTACTATATTATATTAATCATATATAAATAGTACTAAGTTAATAATATAGAATATTCATGGATATAATATCAATGAAGAAATGTCATATTGTTTACTAACATTAGTGGAATATGTGTAATAGACATGTATAAATAATACTAACTACACAGTTTCACACAAGAAAACCAGACACCAATGACAGATAGCACTAAGTAATTAATTTTACTTTCTAAAAACTAACAGAATCTTAGGGTGAAATTAAGGCTACATGTGTCAAATTCTAATTTTATGACACCAAAATGCAGACGCTATGACTGGAAAAACCAAAGAAAATGCTTTGAAGTGACATGTCTTTAATGGACGGCTATCCATAAAAAGATAAGAAAATTATGTCAAACGCATCACCAAATTCGGTTAACCCATTATGCAAAAAGGTAAATGGATCCCCTGACAAGAATTTTTGGTGATGTAATTGCGCTACCTACTGACCAAAATCTAGATGATAGTCTGTAAGGAAGACACACCCAAAGTTCCCTATTGGTCCTATCAACTAGTGACATGCAGATAGTTTTCCCCTTTAAAAAGTAAGGAGTCAGGACAAAGGGAAGAGAGGGACTCTTTTGAAACATATTCTGACTCTCATACTCGCAAACTCTCGAGGACTTACACATTCTGACTCTTGGACTGTACTCAAGAAACTCTCAACACTCTCTTGGACACACCTAATTCTTAGTATTTTCTTTTCCAACTAACACAACTTCAGAACTCTGAAAACCTATCTATTTTCCACAATTCTCATCATACTTGCATTCGAAATTCCTGGGAAATATCTACACATCTGATAGAAAATCTACAACCTAACTGGTAATTATGCTGGTTTTATTTAATTCAATTAAATTAATAATTTTTTCCTAATAGCAGGAATATATATCTGGATAAATATTGGTCAGATTTCAATTATTAGAAATTATAATTAGCTAAGGAATATATGGTTATAAAAATTCCATTCTTGCAGGTGGAATAACAATAACAATATATTAACGGTAAATTTGCCAAATGTTAGTATACCAAAAGTTTATCCAGAGGTATTGACTTGTTCTGATATAAGATAGTGAATCTTAATTAGGAAAGTTACATTTCTGCAAACGAAAAATCTGGTTAGAATTATTCTTATTGGATGGTCCTAGGAATGGTAAATGATCTTGCCTTTGAGGATTGTAACCAGCAGTGGAATAGTTAATTCAGTGTGATTTGACTGTCAGCCAAAGTTTTTATCGCTTTACGCTGCACTGCTGTGTTCTGTGAAGTTTTGTCTTCTCTGTGAATTTGGTTTCTAAGCAGTGTCCTATCATAAATCTTGTTGACAACGGTTGCTATTTAGCTGTCTATATTATGTTGAAACCATTGCTATATTGTATACTTATGTTATACCTAAATATTCACTGATTATTGTCCCGCATGTTACATATATTATTTTTATTATTATTGTCACAATAAATTATATTTTTATTTTTTAAAATCATGAGTAATTTTCAGCTTTATATCATTATTCGGGGAACAGTGCCAAGATATCAATTTTTTATATAATAAAAATGATTAAATTAATTTTTGATAATTTTTATGAAAATATTATTTTAATATGTATCACCCCATAAATATCCTCACATATAAGGGATCCATTACAGGGGCGTCCTCTACTTTAAAGTGGGTTTCTTGGAGGAACGCTGCTCTTGTCTCTCTATGTAGCTTATTAAGTGTCATGGAGCATTTAGTTGAGTTAAGGCCACATACATTCAGTGTAACCACATTAATAGTGGCCATGATCGTGTGTGGTCAGTGAGTTCAGTGTGTGCTTCTGGGCAAAAACTGTAATGCAGTATAACAGAAATAAACATAACTATTTACACAATAACAAAAAGATAAATTAAGTGATAGAGTGCCTTAAAGTATAGTGATAGTCGTAAGTAGCCAAATGAGACGGTGGCTTTCCCCAGGTGTGGGGTTCACAACCGATGGGTAACAATTAAGGGACCGCAGTGGTGGCTCTTGTGACTCTACTGCTGCTCAGGAGTTGGGGGCTAGGGGGCTAGGGGGAGAAGACAATAGGTCCCCTCCCTTATTTTACTTTAGGGCCCCAACCCACCGTTCAGGTTGAAGTATCCACTCGCACAGCACAGGTAGGGGCTCGGGAGGGGGGACACGTGTTTTTTCTCACTGTTTACTAGACATGCCAATACTCGCAGTATAGCGAGTAGGGGCATAATTTACTAATCTATACTTAGTATTAGTAAATTTGGCTGAAAGACCAACTTATTCATTCCTGTCATTCCATTCACTGGCCAAGTAACTTATTTTATATGAATGTGTGTTACTTGATTGTTGTAAGTGTTGCAATGCTTACAGATTAATCATGGCTATGTTTGTATACTTTTTATTTAAACTTTTATACAGTGTAACATTCTTCATTCTTCCACTGGGTAGGTATATTAGTACTTTGGCAATACTGTGCTTTGGAACTTCGGCACTTCGACACTTCGGAACTTCGGCACTTCGACACTTTGGAAATTCGCCAATTTCGGGACTTCGGCACTTCAGCAATTCAGAAATTCGGCAATTCGGCAATTCAGCTATTCGGACATTTGGAAGTGTCCGAATGTCCAAATTGCCTGAAATTCGTCCGAATAACAATTCGGAACGAAACGAATTGCACATGTCTATAAAATATCATCATCATTAAGGCAGGCACATGACTCTTGCAGACTCTAACTTGGCTAGGGTCTTTTCAGACTATGTAAGTCCATTTATTAAAATGTAATTTAGTAAGTTTTAGTAAAAATATCAATAAGAGATCCAGTTGGACCAGTACTGGTAGTAAAAATATCTGTAAGCTATTTGGATTCCACACAAGAAAGCAAACATGCCCAAATGGCTGTACCACCGCAGGGTGTTGTCAAGACACAAAACGGGAATTATTTCATCGTTTCATAGTTAATTGCATAGGTCTTAGTTAAAGGAACACTATAGCGTTAGGATTTCAAACATGTATTCCAAACGCTATCCTGTTGGAATACATGTTTAGGTTACCGCCCCCCCCCCCTTCGGAATGGAATAATAAAGTACTTTTGTCCATCTTTTCTCCCTCTTTGTGGTGTTCTCTTTGTGGCCATCCCCGTTTCCCAGAGAAAAGCATTAGGTGGCTAGCGCATGTGCCACGCAAAACGCTGCACTGAGCCAATCAGTTTCCATGACACCATCTTATTGAAATGGCTGAGTGTTACTAGGCTATTTCGGTAGATGCCCTTCTAATGTCAGTGGGACAGCTTGCAGAAAGGCAACATTTTCACTTGCAGGGTTAAAAAGACAAGGACTTATAACCCAGCCCACTTGATTATGATTAAATGGTCTCTGTGCCTAAACACTACCTTTAAAGGCAGCCAAATTAACCCTTACCATGCAGTTGTTAATCACACCACCTCGATTCGGTATACCCATCTCAGATAATACAGTTAATACAGTTGGTGCTGCAACCACAAAGTTAATCTCTTTAAATAACCTCAGGCTTACTCCTTCTATTAGGATTTGCTGAATAAGATGGTAAATAGAGACAATTTATCATTTATTGCTAATCCTCCCAGTAGGATTTTCTGGCTTCAAAGCCAACTGAGTAATTTAGACTCTCTGTAGTGTCCTTAACAAATGTGCTATTTTCACCAATCTTCATTTTTTTATTTTCTTTTATCTTTTATATGTAAATATATGTTTGCCATCTTCTGATCCATCTGATATTTTCTATTTTGCTTGGAGATTTGTACATTTCATTGTCTGCTAAGCTTCCCTATATTTTTCTTATTTATTTACACAAAATGTAGATTATGATTGTAGAACCCAAAAGTATAGACTTGGATGACCTGTCCATTATATTTTTTTCTTATATCTTTTTATAAATAATCCCATAAACTGTTTTAGGAGTCATTTGTAGGAGCATTTTTTATTCTCATACTGTGCTAATCCAGTGTTGGATTCTGTTATCAGAGAAAACTTATACCCAGTTTATAATAAATAGCAATTCCTTCACTAAAACCTATGGTGAAACTGCTGTTCTATAAGCAGAGAAAAACAAAGTTCTCTTAATTGCTAATAAAATCCAGCCTCTGGTATTTATTTACTGATGACAAATTGTGAAAATACATGAGAAACTCAATTGCAAAAATGTAGACAAAAGTGTTAATTTGTAAAAAATAAATAAAACTCAATCTCAGCTACAGCTTTATAAACTCAGAAGTTCAAACATCAGGTACCAAAAATGTAAACTTAAAATACATCTGCAAAAACAACACTATTAATACATGTTCCATCTCTTTCCTTCCAGTTAAGTCTATCACCTAACAAACCAAAATAAATGAGGAACCCCAAAAGGCAGGCATGGTAGCTGGGGGATGACTTTCTTATGTACAGACAACATCATAGCTGTTCTGAGTTTGTGATGATTCTTTTCCACTATGACAACGGATTCACATTCTCTAAACAAGTGCATCATTTTTAAAATCTTTTATAAAAATTAAGTACATGAGCTCTCTACCACTTCATCCTCTTATGCTTCATTTCCACTGAGTGGTATGGTTCGGGTCGGTAAATGGATTATATAGTGTGACGCCAGTAGCTCTGCCCTAACCGTACCATTTCCTATGGACCTACATCTGAAGGGGGCCCAGGAATGGTGCAGTTTGGTTTGGTTGTATGGGCCACTTTCATAATGGAAACACTCAAAATAGCATACCAGACCGTACTAACCCGAACCGTACGGCTCAGTGGAAACGGGACATTACTGTACCTGAAAATAAATATTACATTTTTTTTTTTTAAACACTTCCTATGCACAGATCTCTATTTTTCTATGGTACTTGTTTTTGTATTTTCAAACATTACTTACTTACTATTTAAGTAGACTATCATGGTTATTTTTTAAAGTGAAAATTCAAGGTGAATTCAAAGTGCATTTAAAATGTATCGTCGATATAGCTGAAAACGTAAGTAATGCATCAGTTCACATAATCTGGACTTAAATATGAAATTCAGTTAAAATTCACTTTGAATTTTTACTTTAGTAAACAACCCTGAAAATGTTTGTTAGTGAGCAATCCATGTCCCTTGGAATTTGTAGGAATCTATGAATAATTTATGATATTTTATATAATACTTTACTGTACAGTATGTAACATTTTTTTTTTATCCTTGTTCTCTACTGCATTACAAAATGTTGGATTGCCTTAAAAAATGTGAGTACTATGTAAATGTTTACATATATCTTCCCATAATATTTTCTCTGCAATTCTAAATTCTATTTTTGTTTGTTATTTCCTGCATTTGTAATGCTGCCAAATCACACTAGCAATGCACTCTTATATCTAAATGCAGAAGGACAGATACAGAAATTCCTACAGTTGCTCACAACATTTTCTGTTTTATTATTTAACTAGACGTTACGTTTGCAACAGAAGGATCCTTGCTCCCTTTTGTTTTAGTAGGTGCGTATAAATAGTTTATGGTATTTTATATAATGTTTTGCTGCAATTGCAGCCCTCTTCCGTTGAAAAGAATTATAAAATGTTCCAGTGCTTTAAAAATAAAATACAAATATTATATAAATGTTTATGTATTTTTTTTTTTTCTTCTCTTCATTTAGAACTCAGCTTTTCTAAAAACTTTATTCTGTGTTACAGCCTTCATATATAATGGCATCAAACAATTATTTGTGAAATTATCAGGCATTTTTTTTTCTAGTACTTTAATTCTGATCTGAGCAAAGGGACATCACGGACATCCCCATCAAGATCTAAGGATAAAATTAACTTGCTGCAAACAACCAGTTGATCTGGGGTAAAAAATGGTATAAGGAAACAAAGTATATTATATTATACCAATAGAGATGGATTAATTCTTAATGGTTATTGATATCATTGATAGTATTGGCAGGTTTACCAATATAGGAGATTATTCAAAAACAGAACTAAGGATACCAAGGGAGAAGACTACCAGGCTGGATACTGATAATCTCCAGTTGGAGTATCAGGATGGAGAAATTATGAACAAATATTACCAGTGGATATCAATTATAGGGCTTAACATTATGGCTGGTTTATATCACCAGTGATAAACTTAAAGGGCTACTCCAGGTACCACTACATTTGTGACCTAAATAATATGCTGTACTGTCTTGCATGGTCAAGCATTTATATGAAGACAAATTTTGTGCAATAAGCCTGCCTCCTTCGCCATGTCATCTCATTCCAGAAATACTTTTTTATCAAATATTATTTAATAAGCTGCTTTTAATACATAACCTGGCTGGAGGCTATCAGAGAAGCTATAAACAGATATTCTTACTATATGTCTCCCTGGGTGTCATCGCCTTCAATTGCAGGTTGCTCTGTATTGACAATACTGTCAATGGCTGAGCTGCGTGCATACACTTAAATAAAGAACTCTTTACCCAAAGTGAGTGGGCATGGCTAAGTTGCTATGCTCGTGGGCCAGCATTCAGCAATACATTTTGTGCAAAAACTATAAGGAGTTGATCTTACAAAAAATAAAAAAATAAAAAACAAATACAGTATATTATTGAGGCCAAATCATATTAATTAAAGTTGTAATGGTACTCAGAGTGTTGCTTTAACTGTTATAATATAATCTAAATCTCTTATTGATATCTTTAGGAAAACACTATTACATTTTAATAAATGGGCTTAAATAGTCTAAAAAGACCCTAGCCATGATTGTAAGGGTGGTAACATCCTACAACAGGTGAACATTTGGAAATGCCAGTCAAACAACCAATACTACTCAAATGAATGTGATTATATACAAGGTCTGTTAACTAAAATGAAAATGTCAGGACTTCAAAAGTGAGTTTGAATTTAAGCCTAGTTAGCAGAATTGGAAACATAGTTGCCTTGGAGATTTTTTCCAGTTTGTTTTTTCTATTCTGAAAATAGAATTCAGTTTGAATTTACTTTGAATTCTTATCAGTTTTCAGTTTGAAGGGTTACTCCAAACACTATGGCCACTGAAGAATTTTGAAGTGGTCATGGTGGATGGAGTCTGTATGTGCAATGTTTCACCAAGAAACTCTGTACATAATGAGTTCTGCAAATAAGAAATGTTATATCTTAAACATTGCCTACCAAAAACATGTAGATTTATATATTAAAGATTTGACAAATTTGGCCATATTTATCAAGGCAGCATAAGCCCATTTAAGGGTCAAATTGACCCTTGCATGCAGATTTTTTGTGATTTTCTTGAGAATTGCTTCAGATTAGCCTGACAAAAATAGGATCTTCATATTTAACCAAGTCATGAAATTGTTAGTTAATCAGTTTTACAAAATCTGAGCTCTCTATAATGGTTCTATCAATATGAATAATAAAGGACAGCTTTAAAAATACTTGAGAATTTTAAATAGTGTCATACGTGCATTTATTTCCAATTCCAGGAAAATGGCTTATAGCAAGACTACATTTTAATAACATACTAAGAGGATCTGTAATAATACGCTGTCTGCAGTCTTTATCTCACATCTTCCCTCTTCACATCTAAGACTGTGTACAACAGCCCCATATCAGCACAGAGACATTGTTTTCTATTGTTTCATAGATTAACACATTTGCAAACTATAACTATTTAGGTTGTATTAATCTTCTGATCCACAGAAAGTATTTATATCCTTTATATTTTGTGTTTTACATATGAAAAAGTCTTTAAAGGCTTTGAATATCCGGAATCTTACTCTATAAATAATATTTTCTATAGAAATGGTGAATACATATAGAAGGACATTACAGATTTTCTAGACAGATTTAATAGTAAAGATGTGATAGTATATTTTCCTTACAAACCCAGGACAGGACTTATCTATGGTCCAGTGAGACAAACACAGTATCTATCAAAATAATTGATCTGTCACAAATCAGTTGCAGTCATTATTGTTTAACCTATTACTGTAACTATTCAGTTGTGGCATGATGAGGTCCTTAGTTAAGTTGTGTTGACTACATTTATATAGTTATGATTTATGAAGCGTGTCAAAGTACAATTTGACAAACACGTACATTTTAGCAAAGGTCCAATAACTAGGAATTCATTTTAAACGTAGTAGTTTGCCAAAAGCATATACATAACAATAAAATTGATTTAGCTTCACTCTTAAAGCTGTATTCGGATCCAGTCTTCTTGATGATCTGACTGAGGGGTTTAAGGTCTGTGCAAAACAGTATTGGGGATAGCGCGTAACCTTTGTATAGGCTACATTTGATGTTGACTTGTGTTATTGTCCTGGAATTGGCTTTTAGAGTTGTTTTATATTTGCTCATTGAGTTCTTGACAAAGACTCTTAATGTCTTGTTAATCTTGTATAGAGCCAAGCATTCCAGTATCCATGTGTGTGACATTTTGTCATAATCTTTCTTGTAGTCAATCAAGGCTGTAGACAGATTGTTATGTCTGCTCTTAGAATCCCATATAACTGCTTGGTCTACCAGCAGCTGGTGTTTTGATCCTATAGTATTGTTTCCAATCCCCTTTTGAGCATTGATCATGCATTGACTCATATGCCCATTGATCTTGGAGTATATGATGCTTGACAGGACCTTCCATGCTGTTGGGGGGCCAGGTGATTACTCGGTAGTTAGATGGGTTTGTTCCCTTGTGAAGGCTCTTCATGATAAGTATTGTTTTGCCTTCTATTGTTCTGCCACATATCTACCTAAGACCCACCCAGAGCAGAGACTGAACAGTACAGTGTATATATATGCTCAGTCACATACAAACACTTTGACATTGGTCAACTCCTTCCTATCACCTCCTTTTCTGTGGATCAGTAGATTAATACAACCTAAATAGTTATAGTTTGCAAATGTGTTAATCTATGAAACAATAGAAAACAATGTCTCTGTGCTGATATGGGGCTGTTGTACACAGTCTTAGATGTGAAGAGGGAAGATGTGAGATAAAGACTGCAGACAGCATATTATTACAGATCCTCTTAGTATGTTATTAAAATGTAGTCTTGCTATAAGCCATTTTCCTGGAATTGGAAATAAATGCACGTATGACACTATTTAAAATTCTCAAGTATTTTTAAAGCGGAGAAACTGAGGAATTATAAATGACATAACTACTTTCTTCCCTTTCACAGTTACCTCCATGTATTAATGTATGCAAGGCTCCTAAGCAATAACTACAGGAGCCAGGGAGGAAAAACGTATGAGGACTGTGGGAAAAATTAGATCATATTTGCAATAAGCTTTGCAATTCTGCTATTACATTCTTTTCACAGACACTACACAATTAACTAACTAGTATATTTAACAAATGTTATGTATACTTTATAACACTTTCTCCATGTTACAATTAAGTGTACACTAAAATACACTACACAATTATTTTCAGAACCTGTGCAATTTATTGTAAGGGACAGAACATTTTAAAATAACAATACTACTACTACTACTAAGGATGAATGATTTAAGTAAATGTTGGAATTCTGTAATTTTACACATACACAGGCATCATTAAACTGCAATTTATATACAAACTTAGTGTTTATCCTTATTGTACTTGCTAGCTATGTGCTAGCGAAACTGGCTTTTAAACAAACAATACTGTAATTAACCTTGTCTTTTTTTTTCTGTAGATTTCATATATCAGGTATTCACAGGTATTCACCTTAAAAAACAGGTGTGCAGCAGAAGATAGTAGAAACCCACAGAAGAAAACCCACAGTAAACATCCAACTTCATAGTGTACACTCTGTAATTTTGAACACATTCATTACCCTTAAAGAGAAATTGTCACTTTTTCTTGATTTTTTCACCATTGAATTAAACATTGAAAATCACCTCCAATTTTTTATATGTTTTGTGAGATATTGTTTTCTATTAAAAATGAATAATTATTATTATTTTTATTATTATTATTATTTTATTATTTATATAGCGCCATCACATTCTGTAGCAATGTACAATGGGTGGACTAACAGACATCTAATTGTAACCGGACAACTGGACGTACAGGAACAGAGAGGTGGAGTGCCCTGCTCAATGAGCTTACATTCTAGAGGGAGTGGGGTATACTGACACAAAGGGTAAAAGTAGGGGTACGAAGTAGATTGTTAGAAGAATATTCACTGAGGGCTTAGTAGGTAATTTTTGACAGTTGCAGGAGGGGAGTAATGGGGGTGGGGGATAAAACCCTGCTAACAGTTTAATTGATATGCTTTCTTGAAGAAGAGAGTTTTCAATTATTATTTTTTTTCAATGAGTGGAGACTTTGCAAATTATATCATAATACAGTTCAGACAAGGCAAAACCAGGGCTGACATTGCAAATAAATAAGAGAAATAGAAACATTGTTTCAATTTTCCTCTTCTTCATATGCTTTCTCTATGATTGCCACCTAGATAGGACATAACTAATAACAATAGTTGACAGGGAGCTAAGATAACACCCACGAGCAGAATAAAAATGTGTTGATTTCTACAATTTAAAAAGAACAATTCACACATCACAAATAAATATTTGTTACACATAGGGATAAGTAAACATATTAAAAAAAACTGGGACATGACAGTTCCTCTTTAATACGATCATTGTCCAACTCTAGATAAAAGCGAACTCTCATGGTGATGCAGTCTTCCTAGCATGTTGTTCAAATTCTTCCACTATAGACAACAGAAAATCATTGAGTGTTATATAAGCTTTATATTACATTACAATTTCCATGCACAAATCATGCTTTTAGCTAACGCCTAATAAATGTGTTGATAAAATACCGTCAGCTTTAATTTTATAGCCGCATCTTGGCAATGTGCTATGATTTATTGAGGTCATTTCCTAGTTAGAAAACCATGAAAGTAATTTGTACAGTGAGTTAAAGATTGGATGTGGAGTGCATTTGAATATATTTCTTCTTGTTAATTAATTAGCACAATTAAATAAATGATATCACAATAAGAATCATATTTTATTTCAACAATATAATTGAAGATACAGTATTAAAATCACTGCTCTTTATTGCATTATATGTTAACAGGGCATATTTACTGAAGTTTGAAATGTGTTTTCACTGTGAATAATACTCTCATATATTTTATCTTAGTATAGTTTTGCTGTTTTATTTTTTTACCAGTGTTTAACAGTGATAGATAAACTAATTCCTCTTTTACTACACAAAGCAGATTCACACAGGGTGTTATCTTATTTTTTGAGGAAGTCTACAGTGATTAGCTCTCCTACCAGCATCTAACTTTGCTTTTGACCCTGCTTTATCATATGGTAAAACAGGAATAACATGCTCAAATTTACATATAATGTTCCACTTTCCAATGTAAGGACTGACAGAGGGGTGAAGTGTGAGAGGACCGACTAGAGAGGCAAATTAGTCTGGTGGCAGAATTCATTACAGACTGTAGTGGAGAGGGTTAGGAGAGGGTTACAATAACCTATGCAGGAAATTACTAGAGCATGTACAAGCTCCTTACATCTTGTGTAAGAAAGGGGCAGATGTGAGCTATGTTTTTATGATGGAATCTACATGATTTGGAAACATACTGGATGTGAGACTCAAAGGTGAGGTCAGAATCAAGTATGATGCCAAGACAGCGCGCTTGCAAGGATGGACTTATGTGGATACCACGGACTTGAAGGCAGAGGAAGAGAGAAGGATCAGTATTAGGACGAGGAAAGACAAGGAGCTCAGTTTTAGAGAGATTGAATTTCAGAAAGCGGGGGGACATCCAATCAGAGATGGAAGAAAGGCAAGCAGTGACACCTTGCAGGACAGCAGGGGAGAGGTCCGGGGAGGAGAGATATGTCTGGGTGTCATCAGCGTACAGGTGGTAGTGGAATCCAAATGAGTTAATAAGTTTGCCAAGAGAGGCAATATAAATAGAAAATAGAAGGGGACCAAGGACAGAGCCATGGGGGACTCCAACCGAGACAGGACAAGGGGAGGAGGTATCATTAGAAAAGGAGACACTGAATGAGCGTTGGGAGAGATAAGAGGAAACCCACTAGAGGACAGAGTCACAGAGACCGAGTGATTGAAGAGTTTGAAGAAGGAGAGCTTGATCAACGGTGTCAAAGGCAGCAAAGAGGTAAAGAAGAATTAGTATGGATTTAGCTGCGATTAGGTCGTTAATAACTTTGATAAGAGCAGTCTCAGTAGAGTGCAGAGGGTGGAAGCCAGATTGAAGAGGGTCAAGGAGAGAGTTGAAATTGAGGAAGTGAGACATAAGGGTAAAGACAAGTCTTTCCAGAAGATTTGAGGAAAAAGCGAGCAGGAATATGGGACAATAGTTAGAGGGGGAGGACAGGTTGAGAGATGTTTTTTTCAGGATAGGTACTACAGTGGCATGTTTAAGGTCAACAGGAACAATGCCACAAGAAAGAGAGCAGTTGAAGATGTGTGTTAAGAAAGGCACAATACAAGGGGAAAGAGATGTGACAAGGTGAGATGGGTCAGGATCAAGCGGGCAAGTGGTGGGGTGAGAGGAAAGGAGAAGCACAGCCACCTCTTGTTCAGTAGCTGGGGAGAAAGTCTGAAGTGTAGGAAAGGCATGATCTGCATATGGTTGAGAAAGAGAATGGTGAGGTGGAGAAAATTCTTTCCTTAGTTTTTCAATCTTGTTGGTAAAGTAGCATGCAAAGCTATCGGCTGTAAAGTTAGTTTGGAGGGTGGCCACATGAACCAGCATGAGCATGAACTAATGAGAGAGGAAAAGTATGACTGTTTGACGAGGGCAAGGGCTGCGCTGTATGAACAGAATATGAATCTATAATGGAGAAAGTCTGACTGGGTGCGAGACTTCCTCCAGGAGCGATCAGCATAACAGGAGCACCTTTGCAGTTAGCGTGTTGATTTAGTATACCACGGTTGGGGGCGTGTCCTCATTGAGGTGCATGCTTGGAGCAGGCTGCAGCATTCAAAGCAGAGGTGAGGGTAGCGTTATATGTGGAGATGGCCAGTGAGGGACAGGAGAGGGAAGGGATGGATAGCAGTTGTGAATCAATATCAGCTGACAGCTGCTGGAGGTAAATAGAATTAAGGATTCTCCTGAGTTGAGGGGGGTTAGGGTAA